AGTTATGATTTTCGGCTTCTGGGTTGCGATGAGGGTGATCTAAGTTGCAATTAGGTTGGACTGAGTTGCGATTTTGGGCTTCTAGGTTGTGATGAGGGTGACATAAGTTGTGATAAGATTGGACCGAGTTGTGATTTTGGGCTTCTGGCTTGGAATGAGGGTGATCTAAGTTGTGATAAGATTGGTTCAAGTTCATCGCAACTTCTTGAGGTGCGATTGTGAATCGCAAACCAGTAAGCCTTAAACTTACCAACACAAAACAAAAAGGACAAAATTGAGTCTAAACAACACCCCATAAAGGTTCAAGTTCTCCCTAGTGGAGTGCCAGCTATGAACTTCGGGAAGCTCATGGCCAGCTCAAATTCGAGTTGCCACCCATTTTTTAGAGGAAATGGGCCCTCATTTTCAGGTTTGAAAAACTCGACTTAGGTCTTTGATAGTGACTCCGTTTTCCACAGTAAATGCACACAACCAAGAGATTTCGGGTTCTAAGGATTGAGAGAGGGAAGGTATTAGGTACCTCTCTCTCAAAGCTGTTGTAGCAGCCCAAAACGGGAGTTACTCAGGCTTAGAATCCGATAAAACACCAATTAACAGGATTGCTCAAAACTCTTGAATCCCGACAAAAACGTTCCCAACTTCGACAAATTATCGAGTCTTAGGTACTGGTTTCCCTAAGACCCTCGCCTCTCTACCTCTTTTTCTCAATCTGGGGGAAGCTGAGAATGTAAGTTGCCTAGAATTTAAGGATTTTAAGCAATTTGAAACTAAACTAAAGTAGTGAGATTGGGGGGTGAGAGGTTTACCTCTTGTGTACAACCTTGAAACCAACTTTCCAGCAATTGAAAGGACTTCAAATGGAACTGGAGAAAGGAAGGGGCTGGTCAGAACGCATTTGGTGTTAAGTCTAGAAAGCAGGGGATGAGGCTTAAGCTTGGCTTCAAGGATTTCGGGATTTCATGCAGAATAAGAGGTTATAGAAGTTGGAGAACTGCCGCCTTTCCCTCTTCTTCTCTTTTCTAGGGCCTCTCTTAGATCTCCTTTTCTCCTTCTCCTTAGTCTCAGATCTCTCTTGGGTTTTTTTCTCTCCCCTTTGAGCTCGAATTAGGTCTATATTTATAAAGAATGGGAGGGGGATCAAGTCTGAATTCGCTCAGCTATAGTGCCTGAGATTCTATAGTGATTTTTTCCACAAATAGGCAAAGATTATTCAAAGAAATAGGTGCCTAGTCAAGATTTCCTGTTTGGTGAAACCCTTACTTCAATTTGGAGGTGGATTTGATGGGTTTTGTGTGGCAAAAAATGTAAACTTGATGAACTTTTTTAAAGTGGTTTTGTCTTTTCTTGGCTTTAAGTAGTGCTCTATTTGGTATTAGGCTTTGTTTCATTGGTCCAAGGGTTCTAATGAGTCAAGAATGGATCTGAAATCAGCCATCACCCTTTTAAGGTTTCAGGTTGGGTCAGATGATGTGGCAATTTAATCTAGTGCGTTGAAATGACATCTTTCTAGTTTAACGGTCAAACGGATGAATTTGGTCATGGAATTTGATGTGTTGGGGTTTTTTAGGTCTCTGAACTCAGTGGAAATGTCTGATTGGTCAAATGGGGTTAGGATGATTGAGATCTATGGCTGAAAAGTTCGGGTTTACGAGATTTGCTAAAATAAAATCTTTGTCTGGTAAAGGGTCAAGCGGGGGAATTTTGGGATGAAATTTGGTGGGTTGGCACTTTTGAACGTCCTAAATMTAATGGAAGTAGTGGATCTTTGATCGGAGGTGTAGATTGATTGATTTAGTTTAGATCATGGCCTTATCTTATTGTTTTCCAATCGACGTGATGGTTCAAAATGGAATCTTACTTTTTCAACGGTAAAACAGAGGTGCTTGGTCGTGAGATTTGACATGTTAGGGTTTTTTGGGTCTCCAAACACAGTGGTAAGGTCTGATTTTTCATGTGAAGTTGAGATGATGGATGGTGGGCTCTAATTAATGAGATTTGTTGGAATAGGATCTAGGCTTGATGGGAGGTCAAACGGGTGAATTTTGAGCCACAATTTGGCGGGTAGGCATGGATTAAGGGGAGGATTTAAGTGGATGATTCTGATTTGAGAAAGATATGGTCAATCTTGGTAATCATTCAGGACTATCGAAATGAGATCTTAATGCTTTTGCGATTGATCGTCATAGATTTGTGGTGGGATTCACTAGTTTATTGCTTCCTAGTGGTTTTGAGGTGACAGATATGTTGGATTTGATTTTGGAGTTGGAGTTTGATTGTTGCATAGATCGAGTCAGTTAAAAAGGCAGTTAACGTGATGAACGGTGGATCTTTGGAGTTTAATCATGAAAATTGATGTGTAACTAAGTTATAATTTTCCAAGTTTGGGATGATGTCTGATTGGACTTTGATATTGATCTCAAGGGTTTTATTTATCTTGTTGATTGTGTCAAAGGAGGGTATTTCGGGTTTTTGGAAGTCTCAAGTTGATCCGGTTGTGTTTCTATGTTTTTGGGGTCTAAGAGGGGGTATAAAGAGGTAGGGCAAAGGGACCGAGCAAAAATTGTGTGCTAACACCTGCTGCTGATGAAGTGGTAGAGGAACAGGTTGGTGAATTGCTCCCACGAACTGATGGAGCGAGGTGGGAAGCCAGAGAACCATCGCCAAGCTGCCCCCATGAAAGTTGCCTAGAAAGTCTAGCACGTCAACTCGTCGGAGTACCCATAAAGAAGCATGAACGCCTTGAAACTTTCCATGTAGTCGTCGGGGTCTATCGTCCCATCATACATCTCCAGTGCAGGAGATTTAAAGTGCGAGGGAAGGGGCTAGGAGATGATGTCCTAGTTAAACGTGTCCATCCTTCCATTTGGATGGCTCTGGCTGGCCGAGGCGTCAACTCGGCTCTCCCTGACTTGGTTGAGCTCGTCCTTGACGGCCCCGAGTTGGGCTTGTAGGACCTCGATCCGAGGGTCGAGGGGACCTGTGCCCCATCCCGGTCCTCACGGAATCGGTGGGAGTCGGCTCGGATCCCCGAGTACTCAAACGCGGGTCCATGTCCGTTCCTTCTGGCACGACAATCATTCAGAAGGTCATGGAGGTACGGGACATGTGAGGGAGAGGCATGACGTCGGTCCTCTGCCCTTGATTGGAGGTTATAGTGGCCAGATCGCCTGCCTTCATCCCTAGAGTTCTCTCTTCTTCACCGGCGGTGGTGTTGTTCGGAGTTCTAGCGGTAGTCGCCAGACTATGCTAGTCCTTCTCCCCTTTAGCTGGGAGGTCTTGCGTTCCTTGGTGGCTGGTTGGTACGTTGGCTGCTACCGGATTCTGAGGGCTCGACCCGGTAGGAGTTAGCAGAGCCGATGGCTAGCGGGTCCATGGACTCGCACTACCCCTAATGGCCCAACGCCTCAATGGGGTGGCCTCCTACCTGGGGACACACCTCCTCGATGCGCTGGGTGAGGTAATCCCGACAGTCGAGGACCGCTTGGAGCTGTTCATTGGTGACCAAGTTCTAGGCGTTCCTGGTGTTTCGTACCATGTTGACCATACCTTAGGAAAGTTCTTTTGAATTTAAGGTAAGTTGGAGGATGTCTTAGCGACGGTTCCCACAGATGGTGCCAATTATTGATGCTCGGATTGGCTGAGGACAACACTGTCAATTTGTTCCTAAGCCCGAGTAGGACCGAGGTACCCGAGGTCCGAGGATTGAGGTGACCAGGGACTAGTGACCAAGGTGGTGAAGATTTGAGGTCCGCTGYATCTTGTGTCTGAGGTGGCCGAGGACCAAGGGGTTAGTTGTACAAGAGGGAAAGTGTTAGTGGCCTCGGGTGAAGACCCGAGGAGAGGACTCCAACGGTCGAGCTAGTAACGAGGCATGGAATAGACAAGGTCTGAGGTGCGAGCACCCAGACGACGCCATTGGAGATCTATAGATCTCAAGTGATAGTAAGAGAGATCCAACATTCGATCCTTTACCTGGAGGGTGGGTCACCTCATATTTATACTTAGAACCATCTGGAAGCAAGGTTCAAATTATCGACACGTATGGCTCGTATCGGCCGATACATATCGTTTCGGGACCCCTATGATACGCCCCTATAGTGGGTGTATTGGAGGTCTGACTGTTTCAGGGGGTAGAGGAGACCTAAACCGGCTCCCTTGAACCAATTGTGAAAAAAAAAAAACACAATAAAAATGTGTATCGATTCGCTCGATACGCCCCTACCGGTGTATTTGGCGTATCGAAATTTTGAACCTTGCCTAGTGGTAAGTGAGCTCAGACGGTGGGGATTGAGTCCGTACACAGGGAGCATTGCCATCCTAGGCCGCCAGGTGACCCTTTGCTATTGGCTCCCCGAAATCCGCTGAACTGGGCAGCGCGCATCCATAGATTGTTGAGCTCTAACCTGTGCTACCTGACACGTGTGAGTCCTGCGATTGGACAGGGCCATCTGCGCCTACATCAGATGGTAGCTTGAAAGGCATTGGTTCAAAAATAAAACATTATAGAAAATTTGCACCCTAAAAAAGACTGAAAAGAAAGAAGCTTAATAAACAAGAATGGTTATTATTAATAATGAAAATGGTTAAAAATGCAGAGCCTAAAAAGAACTTAGAGTCTTGACCAGGTTACAGGTATTCCGGCAAGTCTAACCATCCTGGTCAACAATGGACCAAACAGAAACAAAGTTCACAAACCGGAAAAGGATTGCAGCCATAGAAATGATGTAGTAACTCCCATAAAATTACACAACAATGTTTGTTTATTGTATTACATTCACAACACAGAAAAATAAATCCCTTTCGTCTGTCTTTAATTCTTCATTCTTCTCCATTCATTTATAATCAGTGTCATTTATTTCCATGCGCTATCTACACCAAATCCAATGTATAATATTTATTTCTCTCTCTCTCTCTCTCTCCTTCCACCAACTATAAAAAGCATGGAAACCCTTCTTTCTGAAACATGCATTGCTAGCTTCCTCTAGTACTCTATTCATCTTTCTCTATCTTTCAATCTCGTTTGCTGACTGAAAGACCATATCACTCCCTCATCAATTCCCACATTTCCAACTTCTTCAACCCAAGCAACCCTGCAGCCATGAACAAACTGACAAACTTTCAACTCCTCCAGGCTTTCTTTGCAGCCATCTTGATCTTAACCCTCCTCCTTCACACCCTTTTAAGTGGCATCCCATTTAGCAACCTCCTCCATTTCCTCTCCCACAACCTCGCTGTGTCTCTATCTTGTGCCTGGTGTCTATCTATCTCCATTATCTACTACCTCTGCACCCGTCCACGCCCAGTCTTGATGCTAGACTACACCTGCTTCAAGCCTGAATTCGACCGTAAGGTGAGTTTAGAATCCGGCGAGTATTTTGTCCGCCGGAGTGGACGTTTCACCTCTGAAAGCGTAGACTTCATGCTATCTATATTTCAAAAGTCCGGCCTAGGTGAGGAAACATACCTACCGCCGTTCATCTTTCAGACTGGTTACGACGCCAAGCTACAATCCGCCATTGAAGAAGCCATGGAAGGAATCTTCTCATGCGTTGATTCACTCCTCTCCAAAACCCAGATCGACCCACAACTGATCGACACCGTAATCGTCTTTTCCAGCATGTTTGCTCCGGCCCCTTCCCTCACGTCGCTTGTTGTGAACCATTACAAACTAAGACCAGACGTTAGAACATTCAACCTCAGCGGCATGGGTTGTGCTTCGGGCGCCTTGTCCATGGACACCGCCGCTAGGATTGTGAACAGCAGCAGGCGGATCACATACGCACTCGTTGTCGTCATCGAGAGCATCAGCTTGAGCTGGTATTTCGGCGACGATCGCTCCATGCTCATCAGCAACAGCATTTTCCGTGTCGGTTGTGCCGCTGCGATGATTACAAACGATCCGAGACGCCGAAAAGACGCCAAGATGGAACTGGTGAAGTCATTAAGGACTCACCATGGAGCCGACGACAGTGCCTACACGGCCGCGTTTCAGAAAGAAGATGAGTTGGGTAATCTGGGGATGTCACTCAAGAAGGACTTAGTCCGAGTTGCTGGCCTTGCCTTGCGCGATCACATCCGGTCGCTTGCACCACGAGTTCTCCCAGTGAGTCAACTCGTCGCCTATGGATACTCGGTTATAATGTCAGTCCTATCAGGCGGCGCCATGAAACCGATGGTTCCAGACTTTAAGACTGCATTCGATCATTTCTGTATACACACCGGTGGGAGGGCTGTTATAAAGCAGGTAGCGGAAGTTCTAAGACTCAGCGACGAGTTGACAGAGCCGGCTCGGATGTGTCTGCACCGATTCGGAAACACGTCTGGTACTCTGGTGTTCTACGAGCTGGCATATTTTGATGCGAAACAGAGGTTGAAGAAAGGTGATAAGCTGTGGATGCTGGCGTTTGGGACGGGGTTCAAGGTGTGCAGCGTCGTCTGGAAGTCGCTGCGTGATTCGTGCGAAGAAGCTGAAAATCCATGGACTGATTGCTCCCATCGATACCCATTAGTAAACTGGTAATTCAGGAGGGAATTGAAGAAGAAGAAGAAGAGAGACGAGTATTTCTATTCTTGCTATCTGAGTCGTATTATTTCCTGCATTCGTTTCTTCAAAAAGCGAAGGGATGAAAGAAGATAATTTGGTTGTGTTAATAGCTAGTCTACGTACCGTTGTTATGTCAATAGTTATTCCGTATTTATGGGAAAGGATGGGATGAGAAAGACTGTTTGTTTTCTCGCGAGAAACTGTATGGTTAAAATTCTGTGTTTGTTTTATAAGAAAATTTAACGGTAAACATATTAAACCAAGTCTGTCATGTTTCTCACCTTCTTCGATGACATTGCATGGTCAACCGAAACAAAAAAAATAAAAAAAGAATGTTTGAATTAAAAGATATACTACCATGCCGGAGAACATAGTTTAGATCTGGAACAACCATTTTCCAGTATCCAGATCGTGCGAATAAATTCAAATGACTATTCGGTTAGAAGCTAGATCTGATTCAATCATGTCAGATCTAAGCCTACCTTCGTCAAGAACGCTGGCGGTATGTTTGAATTAAAAGATATACTACCATGCCGGAGAACATAGTTTAGATCTGGAACAACCATTTTCCAGTATCCAGATCGTGCGAATAAATTCAAATGACTATTCGGTTAGAAGCTAGATCTGATTCAATCATGTCAGATCTAAGCCTACCTTCGTCAAGAACGCTGGCGGTGAAGTTTAGAGGGAGCTAGCGGTGAGATTTCGATGGCCACCCATCAAATGGAACAGGAGAAAAATGGTATAAAAAAAAACGGGAATGAAGAGATAGTGCCGGAAATACACTTATCGTCCGACAAGAACGTTGGAGATGACGTCAAAGATGTGACCATTGGACGAAAAGAAGGGAGGCGACGATGTCTGTGAGAGGGCTCTCGACAAAATTTTATCACCTTATTTCATGTCTCAGTGGGGTCTCACTAAATTAGTGTGACCCCCCTTACCGATTTGTGGGAACCCGCATCCCTGATGTTTCCTTTCATTCCCCAAGATTTCATTTGAAACAAACACACAAAAAAAGAATATTTTTCAAATATGTTTCCTTTCCCATCCGTTTTTCGGAAATCAAACGCACAATAAGATCGTCAAAGGGATATTGAAAATTTTAGAAAGGATCAAATATGTTTCCTTTCCCAAATGGTTCATGTTAAATCTCTCTCTCTCTGATGTATCTGATGTATGTAAACAGATCCAAATTGGATTCGAAATGGGGTATATCCGAATCAGATCATTCCGATCCAATGATTCGATCACATCTCACAAAGGTCAATCCATCCAAATTCGAACCCGTTTACTTCTTCTAGTGACCATGAAGATTATCTAAAATTTATATCACTTCAAATAGCAAGCTCTTACTTCATATATATTCCAAATTTAGTAACTTGTAGTGACAATGAAGCTCTAGCCCACATCCCTTTTAACGAGAGAAATTAGATCGACAGTCTTTGCATTGAATCCAGATAGTATGTGAGGTCCTGATGGTTTTGATGGTGCTTTTTTCACCCACTCTTGGGAAATCAAAGGCACAAATGTTTGCAATGCAATAAAAGAAACTTTTACACTAAATCCCTTCCAAAGTACTACACCCACTTTATATCTTTGATACCATAGAAGGACAAGCCCTTGACATTTGCTGGACTTCCGCCCAATTAGTTTAGTTTATGTAATTTTTGTTATAAATCTTTTGCCAAAATTCTAGTGGATAGACTGGTTATTCTCCTTACTAGTTAAACTCATGTCCCCTAACCAAGAGGCTTGCACAAAAGGGAGAAATATAGGAGACAACATTGGCTTAGTTCAATAGCTTGCTTGTGATCTTAATAGAAAAGGTGGAGACATAACATTATTTTCAAGCTTGACATGACTGCTATTTGCTCACTCCCTCGTATCAGTGACTGGACCCAAACCAAGTTCTGATCCGGCAATGCCGAGCTGTACTACCGAGCTATAAATTGTAGGTCCACGCTGAGAAGGGTTGTAAAGAAATAAGGGTTAGAGTGCCTGGGTAGGTTTTACCCAGGAAAACACTCTGATGCTTAAGTCAGTAAAGGGGATTTTTGCGAGAATTCGAGAGAGTTTAACAGCTTCTGTGCGCATACCTTTCAGAGTGATCCTAGGTTCTTTTTATAGCTATCTGAGGTTCAAGTGCCATCAAGCAACATCTCTGAGTCTTCTGTGGAGCTGTTTCCGCAGTTTGGGGTGTGTTGGACCGTCAGTTGCTAGATTCGCACAACAGTTATAGGTCGCCCATGAGTCCTATGGCATACAGTTCGGCGAGTTGTTCCTGTAGTCGCGGTAACGGTGTTCGAGTGGGCATGGCGCACAGGGCAGTTTCGGGGCGAGCTGTAGTTGTCGGCAAGTTGAGCTTGCCCCAGCTCGACTGCACACCTGATGTCGATTGACACGTCCTGATCTGTCAAGCTGTCTTGCTGAGTTGGACGCTGCGTCACTGACAGTGTCCATGTGTCTATAACTGTGTGGGATGACCAAACTACCCCTCATCAATTGCCCCCCACTCTCGAGCCACTACCTAGTAGGCGAAGAGAGTAGAAGTTTTTGGGGCATTTTGGGTCTGCTAGCTCTAGCCGCTAGTCCGGTTTGCTCTTGTCGCTAACCCGAACTATTACAGGCATCGGTTCAGCTCGCCAGGTCCAGCTTGGACTTAGGAAGCTCCTTCTAGAATGTTCCGACGCGAGTAGTGTAGTTTCGCTCGCGTGGGAGAGTAGGTTTGAATGTTCAGAGGCGCGTGTGCCTCCCTTTTCTAAATTTTAAAAATGGGCGCACAAGTCGGTTACACACGCACGTGCCGAAATCTGGTTGCTAACAAGCTATTTCGTACTGTCACCATCAGATCTCTGGCAGCGCGCTTCTGCCAGATGTGGCACTTCATCTGGGTCGTTAATTCGTTCATCAGCGAGCTTAAAGTACTGGGTGAAGGGATGGGATATCCATCACATGGACGCCCAAGTCTTGCGGAAGGGACTAGGCGAATTTCAAAAAAAGATTTCTCCCATCTTTGCAGGGAATCGAATTCCCTATGTTAGAAAACAAATTTTTAAGGATCAATCTTGAACCATGAACCAAATCAGATCTGAACCAAGAGGAGTAGGAGGGAGGATGTACCTGATACGGAGAAACAATATCTCCCAATGGAGGTGTTCACGCCCAAGGAAGGATCCAAAATCTGCTCCCACTGAAGATGGCGCAGTGCAGGATGGAGCAAAATCAACAATGTTCTTCCAAAAGAACTTGACCCTTCGCAAGAATCAACTGGATGGCTGGTGAGTACAACTCCAACCAATCTTTTCCCAAAAGATTGGAATCAAGATCAGATCTGGATTTCTCCCAAGAACTGGAGATCGAACTGAAGGTGATGGTGGCGGCAGGAAGGAGTCGGCAAGAGAGAATTCACAGGGTGCAGAAATCTCTCTTCTTGTGATTTTCAGCTTTGAAGAGAATTTGAACATCAATCACTAACTGTTGCCGCCCCTTTCTCCTTTCATAATCTTAAAGGGATCAGCTCCTAATCCCATTAGGAGTTGCTAATCCAAATCATATTTGAATTAGAAGTCCCTTTA